AATACGAGCGACGGCTCGGCAAATCTGCTCAGCGGGAAAGTTCTCGGGCCACCACTGGTATTGCTGCGAGGATAACCGGTCCCTCAGATGTACGAAACCGTCCGGAAAGGCGCGAAGGGGAAGATGCCGAGCTGCGAGAAAACAAGTTAGACATCAATCTGTTAACTCAAACAGAATACGAGAGGAGAATTAATACCAATGTCAACGTTCCACCCAGATCGGATCGGCCAATCCGGATTTCCAACTGAAGCTCGGTCAATCTTCACGAAGAAGTAACGAGTTTCCCAATTGGCAGTCTTATTCCCCGGGGGCCAAGCTAGAAGAACGTTCTTCAGGCTGAGGTAGAACCGACCGCTCCCGACTTTTCCTAGTCGGTTAAGCTTCGCCAGTTCCTCGAGGGTGTTACAGCACACCCTCCTACCAAGCTCGGCCGCCACGACTAACACTCCGACCAAGTTGCGAATCACCGCAACGGATAGCTGCGATATGGCGATCTTCCGCCGAGCACAGTACTCGACTAAAACTCTTGGGAGGGATAACCACAACTTTCCCTCGTAGAAGAAAAACTCGAGCAGACACATAAATCCCGGAGGAGGCGTCCAGGGACGATCTTCCTTCGACGGAACGCGGAATACGACATTTGAAGGAATGTGTACGATGCTCGAAGAGCATCGAGCGTGCCCTCATCCGACTGCGTCGGCAGGTTTTCTTTGGGTTGGGGGATGACCCCATTCCCAAGCCCGGGACCAGGACAATGATCGTCGTCCTCCAGTTTGAATTGAGCAGTCTCATACTCAGGATCAGTCGAACTGGGAGTTAGGGCTAAACTCTTCCCAGCTCGGGAGGTACTTACGACCTGGGGCCGTGGAGCCGAGCTCGTCAGAGGACGGGAAGTCGATCCAGGGGATCGTCCTGAGCTAGAAGCGGCTCAACCCCGGTTCGAAGAAGCCCTTCTGTTCTTCCTCACCAGCGGTACTGAATCGACAGTATGCTCGTTGGATGATTCTTCATCCCAGCGTGGCGAGTATTCTAGGTGTGGAGAATCGCCGGAGCCGGCCGAGACAGACTCTTCGCGTTCGTTTGACCCAGACATAGTTAAATCAAGATCGGAAAATTGGAGGTGGTGAAGGATGGAGGAAGAAGATCCAAGGATGGAGCACGAAGCCGAGCAGGAAAGTGAAGGAAACTAGAAAGAAGTTAGGGAGAGAGAGCTAAGAAAATCTGAGAAGCGAAGTGAAGAATGAAGCAGGGAAGGGCTCTTTTATAGATCGAAGTCGGGCAGACAAAGAGTCATCTCGATGCTCGCGCCTCGCTTCGCGTCAGCCAATCAGGAACAAGAAAAGGGTGGGCCAAATATGTCACGGGCCTCGAAACCGCATCGACGAGCCCAAAGCCCACCTACTCGCCGACTGGGGGGGCTACTGTTGGGCATGGGCTTCAACAGTAGTCACTTTTAAAGCCCACTTCCGAAAAAGCCCAGCGAACAGAAGTCTAACGAGCTCGGTCCAGAAGGTGGAAGTCCGACGAGCTCGCCCCAGTAACTGATGGTCCAGGCCCAAAGAAAACCCAGCCGCCTTCTGCAGTGAATGACATCAGCACTGGTCCCGAGACAACCCTAGTACCTTATTCTCTCCACTTTTAGTATAAATAGGGGTCCCCATCCCATGAGTTGTATCATCACTTTTCCACTTTTGGGTAAGTACAAGGGAATTTAAGAGCTAAAGCAATCATTCTCTAACACCAAAAAGGAAAGAANCCCCTGATCGAGCTCGATTGATCAGAAAGTATAAGAGTTACTCGCCGAAAGGCTGCGCAGAGTTTACACTTATTACTCCGATACTCCGACTTCAAGTGCTCACATCATCTGATTCCGACCTCCGATTCAGCGACCTCGACATCCAGTTGTTTAGTCAGTTTGGATCTCCAGCCCGATCTCGTTTTCAGTGACAGGTTCGACCTTGAAAGCGACGATCTCGTATCTTCCGAGCTCGATACACAGTCTTTTCTAACACGTACAATATCATTTGCTGTAACCTGTTTCCGAGTTAACATCAATAAACGGGAATTTCCGATCCTTTACCGTATACAAATTAATTGTCGAACACGTGGATTAACATAAACTATGTCTGCCAAAAGATTCATCGTGAGACGGAGGAGAAATTGGGTATTTATCAAGTGTTTTTACCTTCTTACAGCTGAATATTCGTTTTTGGAGAAAGAAGAATATGACTTTCACAAGAAAATATACTGTGACCGTCGACTGAGTGACGACGTCAATGTAACGATATGCTTGTTGACAAACCTGTTGATTTTATATTCGAAGATAATGTTTTATAGCTAATAATTGAAGAAAAACAAAGAATGAGTATTTTTTAAAGACTAAC